GTTTAGGGTTTAGGGTTTAGGGTTTGAGGGAGAAGGGCTCCTTAGCCACCGTCTCTGAAGATGCAAGAGAAGGTCTAGGGTTTAGAGTTTAGGGTTTAGGGCTTAGGGTTTAGACAGGAGAAACAGAAGAAGGCCCGCTGGCTAGCTCGGGCTGAGAAGCGCAGCAAAGAGAGTTTAGGGTTTAGGGTTTAGGGTTTAGGGTTTAGGGGCCCCTGAGGCTCAGCGGGTATAGGCGGGGCCCCCGGAAGCTCTTGGAAGCCTTTAAGGGTTTCTTGAGGGCCCCCCACAAGAAGAAGATTAGGGTTTAGGGTTTAGGGTTTAGGGTTTAGAGTAAGCAAAAGAAAGAGATATCCCGATAATATGCTAGATGCATGCAGAGGTTTAATTAAATAATTAAACAAAACATAAAAACAACAAAAAGAAGACAAAACCCTCAACTTCTGTTGCAAGTTAACGTGGGGCTGCAGCCTCCTGCTGCTGCTGCTGCTGCAGCTGTTGCTGCTGCTGTTCATGCTGCTACTGCTGCTGCTGCTGCTGCTGCTGCTGCTGCTGTTGATCTTCCTTCCCTGCATGCATTAATTGGTATTATAATATATTTATTTTTATATTAACAAACAAAATCAAACAAACAAAACACATAAATTTTACTTCATCTGCTTCAGACTCTGCTCGCCCCACTGCATGCACAGTTGTACATAAAAAATAAATAAATAAAATAAATAAATTAAATTAAATAAATTAAATACATAAATTATATTAAATATAAATAAAACAAAAGCAATAAATAATAATAACTCAAAGTATAAACAAATTTATATCGCACGCCGTTCTTAATTTATTAATTTATTTAACAATATTTTTTTATGGTCATTGTTTGTTTATTTGTTTAGATTAAGCGTTAATAATGTTTGTTTATTGTTTATTTATTATAAAATAAAACAGCATATTATTATTTATTTCTTTTATTTGTTTAGATTGAAAGTTTTAGCGCTTTGTTTGTCTCTTCACTCTTTATTGCTGTTCTCAGTATTTATTTTTATTTATTTTGAGGCTAATTAAACCCTACCCACTGCTGCTGCTGCTGCTGCTGAGGTGTCTACGCAGCAGCAGCAGCAGCAGCAGCTGATCGCAGCAGCAGCAGCAGCTGCTGCTGCGATCAGGAGCTGCTGCGCTCCTAGCAGCACTCGTAGGGTGTATAGGCAACTAGCTGAAGCTTCGACATCGCATCTGCAGCAGCAGCAGCAGCAGCAGCAACAGCAGCAATAGCAGCAGCAGCAATAGCGGCACCCTAAGCAGCAAGAGTTTGTAGTAAACCCCAAAAAGACAGCAGACAAATTTCGCGTTTGCATCATCAAAGCAGAACTCTGCTGCTGCTGCTGCTGTTGCTGCTGCTGCTGTTGCTGCTGCTGCTGTTGCTGCTGCTGCTGTTGCTGCTGCTGCTGTTGCTGCAGGTTTCCAAGTCAATATCTTTATTTGCTGCTGTTCACTGACGATTTGCAATTTGTATATTTGCAGACGTCTGCCGCTAAACCCTAAACCCTAAATCCTAAACCCTAAACCCTCAGGGTCTCTAATAAACCCTAAACCCTCAGGGTGTGCAGACCCTCGCCTTGCACGTCAGCTAAGCCTAATGCATATCTCAAGCAACTCTAAACCCTAAACCCCAAACCCTAAACCCTAAACCCTAGCAAGGCCTCAGTGTTGAGAAGGACTTGAGCGGAAGGTAAGCAAAACAGACAGAATAAACCCCTCAGACAAACACCACACCCCTGCTGCTGTTGCTGCTGCTGCTGCTGCTGCTACATGAGCCCCTGCGGCAGCAGCAAGCGTGCAGCGTCACGCGCTGCTGCAGCAGCAGCAGCAGCTGCAGCAGCAGCAGCAGCACAAAGGGCTGAGGCTGCTAGACCAGCACGCCTCCAGCTTCTTTCTTACCCTTTGTTGCTGCTGCTGCTGCTGCTGCTGCTTGCTGCTGCAGATGCGGCACGTCTGCTGAGCCCGTGCGAGAGACATACTCCTGGCTAGCTGCAGCTAGCTGCTGTTGCACCGTAGCTAGCTGCTTCTCCAGCCCCTTCAGGGCCTCCCCCACCTGCCAGTTAGAAAACAGCAGCAGCAGCAGCAGCAGCAACAGCAGCAGCAGCAGAAACAGCAGCAGAGACGCAAATGTGCAGGAAGAAGCCACTCTGTTCTCCCGAAACCCTAAACCCTAAACCCTAAAACCCTAAAACCCTAAACCGTAAACCCTAAACCCTAAAACCCTAAATCCTAGACCCTAAACACCAGAAAACCCTCATAAACCCTCGTAAACCCTAATAAACCCTCATAAACCCTCAAAAAACCCTAACAAACCCTCATAAACCCTAATAAACCCTAATAAACCCTCACAAACCCTAAACCCTAGAACGCACAGTTGCTTTGTGTTGCTCGAGAGCCGGCTGCACCTCCCCGACAGTCCTCTCTACTAAAACACCGCCGACCAGCCGATAGCAGCGGCGGGAAGGCTCGAGGTCTTTGAAGGCATCTAAGACCAACCTGTACCGCAAACCCTAAACCCTAAACCCTAAACCCTAAACCCTAATTGAACATAATTAAACCTAATTAACCCTGCCGTTGCTCGTAGATGCTGCTGCTGATGCTGCTGCTGATGCTGCTGCTGATGCTGCATACGCTGGAGCTGCGGAAGAGCTGACTTTGGTGGGGATAGACAGCGTCTCATGGATGGCTAGGGTTTAGGGTTTAGGGTTTAGGGTTTAGGGTTTACTGGTGGTCGCTGGTGTCTTGCTGCAGCTCTGCTATAGTGTTTGTAAGAGCCAGACGCTCCTTCTCAAGCCGCTGCAGCCGCTGACGCAACTCTTCATCCCTTGAGGGGCCCGGGGCCCCCTCTGCTTGAGCCATTAGGGTTTAGGGTTTAGGGTTTAGGGTTTAGGGTTTAGGGTTTGGGGTTTGGGGGGCCTCCTTGAAACTCTGCGAGACTGCGGCAACCCCTTCTCAGCCAAATAAAAGAGATGGTGCAGCAAATGGACTGCTGCAGCAGCGCGCAGCAGCAGCAGCTGCAGCAGCAGCAGAGCAGCAGCAACAGCCGCAAGGTGTATTTGCTGCTGCACCTGCTAATTGCTGCAGGATATGAGAAGCATAGAAAGATAAAAAACAAAAAAAGTTTTTAATTATGTCTTTTAGCGTGTAAAGGCGGAGAGAAGCATCGAATTGTTGCTGCTGTGGGGCCCCCAGTGCATGCAGCTCGTTTGTTTGATTTGTTTCTTATGCTTTTTTATTTAATTGTTTAATTTAAATATTTAATTTAATTTCATTTTATTTTATTTGTTTATCAATGCACAAAGACAGAAAAAGAGACAGAGGCTGAAGCTTGTCGCGCACAACAGTCTTAGTTAAATTTATAAATAAATAAATAAATAAATAAATATATAAATGTAAATAAATAAATAAATATATAAATAAATATATATATATACGTGTATCTGCATAAAGAAATAAATAAAATATGTATACGTATATATATATACACATACATATATATATATATTATATAAATATTTGTTTTTAATAATTTCGCATCAATGAATTTAATATATTATAATTATATTAATATTTATAATTTTAATATATTATAATTATATTAATATTTATAAATTTATTTTAATTATTTTATATTTGCCTCTACACAAAAAGAAATAAAAAAATAATATCTCTCGTTTTGTTTGTTTGTTTGTTTGTTTGTTTTGTTGTTTATTTTTTTTATATATTTTTAAATCTGTTTAATATTCTACTTATATTTATTTATTATTTATT